CTCCAGTCTGCTAGGTAGAGTTACCGCCATGATGACTTGTCCTAGGCCTTAGCCCCATTCCCTTCAATGATATTTCAACTGCCTCTCTAGATAGGCCTTTTGTAAGTGGATCCGACACGTTATCTCTTAATCTTTACGTAGTCAATCGTGATAACACCACTAGAGAGTAGTTGTCTAACGGTATTGTTTCTCCGTCGAATGTGACGAGATTTTCCGTTATACATAATGCTCCTTGCCCTGCCTATTACCGCTTGACTATCACAATGTATACACATAGGTGCCAAAGGTTTGGCCAAAATAGAATATCTTCCAAGAAATTCCGGAGCCATTCAACTTCTTCACCGGCCTTGTCTAAGGCTATAAACTCAGTCTCCACTGTAGAGCGTTCAATACACATTTGTTTGGACGATTTGCAAGACATCGCTCCTCCACCGACTGTTTAGAATCGGTTGAACCGGTGATCTAATTTGCATCACTATACCCCTCTATTATCGAGAGATACTTATTGTAGTGCAAAGCATAATTTGGAGTATACTTCAACACTCGTCTCATTGTCATGAAAGTTCAATGTAAACTTTCTTATGTTGTAGACTAATACGTCTCGACTTTCGATTGCATATCAAATTATTTACTACACTTAACGTAGCAATAATATATTATAACAATAACAGGAATGATTGGCATCAGTTATGTCCACAACCTTTTAATATATAACACATTTCGCAATCACTCCGCCATTTTTAAGTATTTGTATGTTATTTGTTCATACGTCTATTTGATATGCAAACTATACCACCTTCATGAAACAAATCCAACTTGCAATGAATTTCAGTCATGTTCATCGGTTGGTTCACCTCATTATGGACCAATGTATCATACATTCGTTTATGAACGGTCATGTCCATACAAAAACGTACAGACGTATCTTTCTATGGAAAATCACAACCTTTGAAGTGACATCCTTCCATAAAAGAACTAAACCATATAAATTTTCAAGAAAGAAAATAATCTTTGATAAAGGCACGTGACCAACTTCCGAATTAATAGTTTCATCAACTAGTCTTCACTAAGACTGAACAAGTAACGAATACACCGACTACCATATCAAATCCATAAGGATTCGTGGGGTTCAAAGAGTTATATCATCTAATTCTTCTAGATAATATATACATCACGTCTTAAGATTAGCTTTTGTTATGCATAATCTAAATTCCCCCACATTTTTCATGTTTTATGTGCCTTTTCTATCAATATATAATCCATATATAAACAAACAATGACTACATAATGTAGAGTATTCTTAATGTAAATACACTAGTTTGAAATCATTTGACAACATTTTCTAGTCAAATTCCACATGCCATTGTTTGGGTGCTTGTTTTAGTCCGTAAAGTGACTTAACAAGTCGAGACACCTTCTTTTCTTTTCCAAGAACCATGAACCCTTTAGGTTGTTCCATATAAATTTCTTCCTCCAATCTCCATTTGTCTTTAAGTCCATCTAATGGATTTCAAGGCCATACACGGCGGCTAACGCTATTAACACCCGAGTAGATGTGATCCTCATTACCGGCGAGTATGTATCAAAATAATCAAGACCTTCTCGTTGTCTAAATCATTTGACAACTAATCTTACCTTATATTTATTTGTCAATAGTACCATCAGCTTTCATTTCCCTTTTGAAAATCCAATTAGAACGCAAAGGCTTATTTCCTGGAGGAAGATCAACCAATTCCCAAGTATGATTACTTAATATGGATTCTATCTCACTATTGATGCCTCTTCCATTATTGTGCTTCCGAGGAAGACAATATTTCTTTAAACGTTTGAGGCTCATTTTCCAACAAGAATGTCAGAAAATCTGGTCCAAAAAAGTAGTTATCCTTTCACTTTTACTACATCTTGGAATTTTCTAATTCAACGTACTTTCCTTTGCTTCTTCCCGATTTCGCTTAGATATTTCACTAGACGACTCGCATTTCTTTTTATACGGATAAATATTCTCAAAGAATTCAGCATTATCTGATTCGATAACCGTATTAATATGAATGTCGGGATTTTACGATTTATGAATCGGAAAACAATATGCCTTACTATTTCTTGCATATATTATAAAAACGGAATCAACAGTTTTCGATCCAATTTTTTATCCTTTTAGGTTTTGAGAACTTGCACTTTACCCAAATACCCCCCCACACTTGGAAATATTTCAAGTTGGGTTTTCTTCTTTTTCATTTTTTTATATGGAACGAAATGTGTCTTGCTATGGAGAACGTGAATGAGTATTCGGTAAGCTGTAGGCATAGCTTCCCCCCACAAGTTTTGGGTAAACCAGAACTTATCAACTAGGCATTTATCGTTTCCTTTAACGTTCTACTCTTTCTTTCCGCAATTCCATTAGATTGCGCTAAGTAAGGGGCAATCGTTTGGTGAATAATGCTATATTCCAAACATATTTCTTCAAACGCCGCCTCTATTACTCTGTAGATCCAACCACATGAACTGTTGTTGTGTCATAACAGAGCCAGAATAAATGGTGAAGTTTTTAATCTTCAAACCAATCTGACATAATCAGAATTAATAAACGGTGAAGTTTTTAATCTTCTAACCGAGTAATACCTGATACCGGATCTAATAAACGGTGAAGTTTTTTAATCTTCAAACCGAGTAATATGTGACACAAACAAATTTAATAAACAATGAATTTTTTAATTTTCAAATCGAATAATAAATTAGAGTAGAAAATTACTAAGATTTTAATCTCCAAAACGAGTATAAAGTCACTTAGACTTTAATTTTCGACAAATGAGTAGAACGTCACGAAGACTTTAATCTCAACGAACAAGTACAAAATCACGCAGATTTTGATCTCGAAGCAGGAGTAGAAAATCATGAAGATTTTACTCTCCATAACGGGTGTAGAAAATCACGAGAATATTAATTCCCTTTCAAAATGGTTTTCCAACTAAACCATCATACCACTTTAATCTCTTTCTCTAATCATACACATATATGTTCATCTTTACATATATTATATTCATGATCTCAAGAATACTTCAAGTATTACTGTAAGCCTAATTCATGTCTTACTTCCTTGAAGATACTATGCATGCTACCAAATGATATATCAACTTTGGTCAAAGGAATAGCAAAATTAATCACAAACATATGTTATTCCTATTCATGCATATAATTCTTGATTTGTAATATGAGATCATCATATTATATATCCTAATTTTTTTTATAAAAATATTTTATAAATCACATAGGACAGAAAAATTAAAGAATAAATAGGGAAATTAAAACTCAATTTTGGTTGTCATACTGTTCCAACCTCTCCAAATAATGGTTTGACACAGCAGAATTATTCCTTGTCAAGTTGTAATACCTTCTTTCGTAAAGTAAATATTACTTTGCTGTAATTTACCAGAAAATAGTTTGACATGCTTAGATCCAATCTTGCGAAGTCACGCGCTGTTTCATGATAAATCACTTATCTGTTAACATATCAGTGCTCACAATGTTCCTTTTCAATTTCTCACCCTTATTCCTTTACGTCCTCTTCTGTAAAGTACTTTTAAGTAATATGTTCTGCAATCAATCAAGTCAAATGAGACTTTTGATTATCAAACTTAGATCACATCATATCAAACCCAATTCACACATAAACTATGTCAGCCACGTGATTTAGTGAGAGCGCAATGATCGTAAATCAATTCATTCGTAAAAGATGATCACTATTTTAACCCCCTTGTTGCCTTTTCAAAGTGATCAACCCATCAAAATTTTACCGCGATACTCCGCAATTTTGACATACTTGACTTTCTTGTGCTCTAGTTACTGGAATGTGATCAACCAGTGAGTCCAAACTTCAAAGCCACAATCAAATTTCAAATCTGCCTTTTAAATTCGTTTTCCAATAACAGCGCATCAACATTGCGTTACACAAGCTTGAAAACTGCAATTAGAAGCTAAAATAAATTCCTTAAGATTATTGGTATTACTGTGTTCAAAATCAGAAAATATAGAAGTAAACAAACGTTAGTTCAATAAACAAATCGTAAAATAATTCCGAGCCCACTGAATGCACAATGTGTCCTTAAGGAATTTAATCCCTTCACTGTTGCCCAAGGTATACGGATTAATTCCTCCCAGGATAGAAAGGAATAACTATTCTGTGATAGCGGCACTTCAAATCACAGAACTTCAGCCAACTCAACAAACAGAGCAAATCACACTTAACACTTATATTTATTTAGAAAATAATGCAACAATGTAGAAAAGAGGGGAGAAGATTTTAGATTTTCCATATCTGGTTTCATGTCTAAAAAATGAAGTCAAGCCTCTAAATTTATAGACAAAGGAAAGGTGATATGGAGAGGTGCAATCTAAAATGTGCCTCTTTCATTTCCCATTCACACCCCTTAATAAAAACGTAACACATTGACCTCCGAGAAGCTTGGCTAAACAATTGGATATGCTAATTTTGGGTGCAATTAGACCTTAGGGAGGGTGGAGGGGGTGGGGGGGTGTTGACAGAATTTTTTTTTTTGACAGTGTTGACAGAGTTGCAGCTGAGAAAAGCGAGCAAAAGGTAGATCAAAAATTTCAGGTTTGCACACTTGGCCATCTATCCAGGGAAAGAGTGAGGGAAACACATTTTGTTGAAGTTTGAACTAACCAGGCAGGCCATAGGGGATGACACCCTATTCCTGCATTGAGCTATCCGTGCCTTGCCTGTTGTCAGTTGGAAAATCGAAAATAGGAGCCCAGACAAAATGGGTGAAAGATACCAAGTATAACCAAGAAAAATTTTATTTTGTATCTCACACAACTGACACTAGTTGTGTGAGGCCTCTTTTTTGTCTCACAACTGTGTGGGTCCCAGAATTTTGTGGACCCAAATGTGTAAGATATAGGCCCACAAATATATGAGATAAAAAGAAGCCTCACACAACTAGTGTAAGTTGTGTGAGACACAAAGCAATCTAGAAATCTCGGACAGAAAACAGAATCAATAGTGTAAACTTTGGTTAATGAGGGGCAAGTTGTACACAATTTAGTTCTACATGAAACTGACAGCCACAATCCGAGAAGTGAACATATGAATGAACACTATCTCATGTATAACAACTTTGTGGACAAATACAAGACCTAAGATTTTCTAAATTTCTTCTTTCTGCCTGCAGTGTCCGGTGTTCGGTTGTCCAACTTCCTCTTTGTCCCAGTTTGTTTCAAGCCGGAGGAGGCAGCCTTGAGTGCTTTTGCTTTTCGGGCAGCAACAGACGGTCTCTTTGCTATGCGCTCATTTGGCTTCTGCGATATCTGTGTTTTTGGTTTTGATTTTCCTAGGTCGTTCATCCTAGATTGAGTTTTCTTCTGCACACCCGATTTGCTTGCTCTCATACCCTGGTAGGAGATGGCAGCCTTTGCTTTCATCTTACCGTTACTGCCTGGTGTTGCTGAATGTACTGCAAACCTCTTTGCCGGAGAACTGAATCTGTCTTCGGTTGACAAGCTTTTCCTCTTAGATGGAGTAGAATTTGCTTTAGAATGAGACACTCTCAGCTCACGATCCCGTAGCTTCAAGTTACGCTTTCTTGCGACAATGTTGGCAGCCTCCTGCGAACCCAAGTATAATATATAAGGAACAAATTATCTTTCAACTTAAGCAACCAGGGTTAAAAGCTACTGAAAAATTAGCGAAACTCATCTAAGACATTAGGATATATTATCTTCAAATAACATGCTTACAAAATAATTAACTTCAACTACTCTGCAATATTATGAAAGGAAAAACAAAAAGATAGTCCTAGAAACTGAACCCTTCTTCTCATTTATTATTCCTTCTATTGTAGGTAATTTTATAATTCCTTCTATGATATTTTGTAACAAAGTACTGCTTCCCTGACTTTAATAAAAGAACCATATAGAAAAAGAATGATATATAGTATCAAAGATGACATTCCAAGGAATGCAAAAGACCGCCAGACTAATAAATATCCGTTTATTGGGCAACTGGCTCCAATAAATCCCATAATAAGGCTGATATGCACACCACCTCAACTAAAATATTTTCTCTCTACCAGTGTTATAAATAGCGTTCGCCTCAGCGCTAATAGCGTGAGGCGAGGCGAGGCGAGCAGCCTGCGCTATTTTGGCTCTGTTGCGTTGCGATTGTAAAAGGCGAGCGCCTCTGCCTGTGTAGCGAGAGGCAAGCTGTGGCGTCGCTGTTTGAAAAAAAAAAAAGAAAAAGGCGCAAAGACCAGCGACTTAAAACATTAGGGCTTGGGTTTTTCACTTCTTCTCCTTCAGCGACCTTGACCTTTCTCTCAGCAACAGAAAAATTAGGGCTTGGGATTCATCTTCAGCCATCAGCGACAGTAACCCACTAACCCAGGTATGTTTCTTTCTTTTCTTTTCTTCTTCTTCTACTTTCTTCTTCTTCTTCTATTTCAGCGACAACAACCATTGCTGTCTTCTTTTTTTCTTCGACAGTTCGACTTCGACCATTGCTGTCTTCTTCTTTTTTCTTTTTCATCTTCTTTCTTCTTTCTTCAGTGATCAACTCTTTCTTCTTTCTTTCTTCCTTTTTCTTCTTCTTGTCTTTTTTTTTGTGCTCTGTTTTTCGACCAGCAGACAAAGGCGCATTCTTTCTTCCCTTCCTCTTCTTCTTCTTCTTCTCTTATTGAGTTTTTAATTTTTGAATTGATATATTTATTAATATATTTTTGTTATTGAGTTTTTTAGTTATATATATATATATATATATATATATATATATATATGTTGCTTCACATAAAAAAGGAGAGCATTTCGCTGCGCGCCTCAGTGAAGCGGGCACTCATCGCTATTTGTCGCCACACGCTATCCAAAACACTGCTCTCTACTGCCTGAAGATCAACATAAATGGGACCTTTCTTCTCTCAGCTCCCTCTAAATGCAGGTGGAAGCATGAGGCAAGAAGTTTTTTCTCGTTCTGGAACATCCATTGCTACATCTGAACAAACTTTGGTCTAATTTCTTGAAAAGCCAAGAAGATAGATCAATTTGCTATTTATCCCGTCTGTCAGCACAATTTCCGCCAGTACGGGAGAGAGCCAAAGGGATATTTACTCAAGAATATGTATCCATTAGTTTTTGCTTGTTTGAAAGAAAGGAATTCCATCTTTCCTCGACTCATTCCTTCCTGTCCCTAGAAGGCAAGTAAAGTTTCAGGGATTAACTTTGCTAGATATCTACATTTTGTAAAAGATCAAGTAAAATACAGGCTTCGGTGCTTATGCACAAAGGAAAGGGAAAAACGTTGGTAGGGTCACTTCAGGAAGTATAATAAACGGAGAGGATAAGTACAAGGTAGCATTATTTAATGAAAAAGGGATAAAGCCGCAGCAGTTTAAGTTTAAATTTAGAGTATTGAATAGGGACTGCTGCTAAGTTACAGAGAATAACAAAATAGGGCTAGATATTCCTATCTGTAACTTTTCAAAATAACATTATATTTGAAAAGGTATCCCAAAAAAAGAAAAAGGAAAACTAAAGCAACTAAAGGACTTGTGTAATTTCATCCATAAAGTCCACCAGATAACAAGTCGTGATGTTTGAAAAGTGGCCAAGTGACCCAGGGAAAAGCTGATTGACTCTTCCGAGACAAAGGAAAAATTGAATAACCCCAAAGAGTTAAGTAGCCTATTTTACTAGAACCAACGACCCACAACAAATCCCAAAACCACAAAATACCTTGTCTATGCAAACCTTAAAAGTACTATAACTAAAAGCAAGAAACTAATCTAGAATTAAAATTTGATGCTCGAGAGCTCGGGACTTATAAGATGGTATTCCCCCTCTCTTTCCTTGCACATTCTCCCAGAAAGTAACTGTCACCATTTAAGGTGCCTAGCTGATGCCAGAGGTTTACAGATTGGTGCCAGCTCATTACTAAAAGAAAGAGCTTAAAAGGGAATGGAAAGAAGCTTCCGCTTTCAACCACAACTCAAGGGATAGATTCAAATAATTGTTTTTATGGCTGCAGAAAAGACTGGCAAAACTGCAAACACCTACACAGATGGAGATGCATGCTACAACAACAACAACAACAACAACAACGTAAAATCCACAAATGGGGTCTGGGGAGGGTAGTTGTACGAAGACCTTACCCCTACCCCGAAGGAGTAGAGAGGTTGTTTCCGGAAGACCCTCGGCTCAAGATAATAAGAAAAACAAAAAGGGGAGAATATTAGTTTCACCACAGAGATCATATGAAAAATAGGAACAAAAAATGCATAAGGAAAAATGCAAAACAAAAATGATGGCTAGTAAATAGGTCCTGCACCGAAAAGCGAAAATAGTAAGACACGACAATGCCCCTAGCTATTCCAGGCAAAACCCTACCAGACTAGGCTAACAACAGCTAAAACAGTCGTCTATGTAATATGAAGCACGTATCACAAATCTTAAACTCCTCGTAAGTTAGTACAGCAATTAGACATGAAGAAACTAAATAGACTAAGACTTGACTCTCTTTACCCAGATGAAACTAAATGAATTTTGTCTTTCTAATCCCAGATGAGGAGAAAAGCAATCAATCAACTAAGCCTTGATTCCAAACTGGTAGACAATATTATTCCGCTGTATCCATCATTCAGAGGACCCAGATGATGCTAAAGCAAACAAAAAAAAAAATTATTTCCATCTACAGCTAATTTCTAGCTTGTCTATAGAATCAAAGTGCCAACTTTTAAGACTGAATCACCTCAAAGTGAGTATGATGTCGAAAAATAATGTTAATGCAATTATAAATTTGGAAAGCAAAAGAAGTTGATAATATATACCCTTGTTTTGAACAAAACATAAGCAATTCCTTTTCCTAGGAGAGTATTGGGATCTCTGATCACACGAACAGCCTCAACGCTCGACTCCAACTCTTTCATACCAGAGAACAACTGATAAACTTCTTCATCCTGCAAGGAAATGAACAAAATCAAATTGTGGGCGACAGAAAGAAAATTGCCAATTAGAACAGTAACAAGTATGCATTCTCAAGTAACTGACCTTCACATCAAATGGAAGGTTACCCACAAAAACAGTCCTTTTGTTATCATACAGTGCACTATTCTCTCCCTTCATCTTTTTGCGTGGCGGACATGCTCTGTCAACTCGGATATGTCTTCCTTCAACCTATATATAGATAAGTACCATGAGCAAACTTCCCAACAATCTGACTACTGAAAAAGAGCTTCTTTCAGAAGGAGCAATCAACTGTAAGAGAAGCTTACCACTGCCATATTATGAGCCAAAGAAGCCTGGGCAGATTCCTCTGATTTAAAAACAACATAAGCATGAACACTGCATATACAACCAAGTAACCTTATCATACAATAGGAAATCAGATATAAAGAAATATATCAATACACCAATCAATGCAAAAAAGCAGCATTTTCGGGACAAGAAACTTTTATCTCCCACAACCATTAAAGTTACAATAACAGAAAGGGTGTTACACATGATCAGTTAACTTTGATATCTTAGTCCAATTTTCTAAACAATAATCATGAAAAAACATCAGCAACAATCAACCACTGACGCCTCAATCACAAATTAGTTGGTGAATCCTCAGTATCAATTCGGCTCTATTGAGGTCCATTTAACTATTAAAAAACCATAACGTTATAATTTGTTCATCTAACCTGTCAGCATTATCATTGAGTTTTTTCTTAATGATAGCAGCCTTCCTTGGAGTTGCACTCTGCCAAAAGAAGTAACATTTAAAACAAATCAAAATCTCATAATTCTTAACACCTAAAGCACATAAAAGAAAGAATAAGTAGCTAATACTCACATCAGCTAACGGAATAGACCGAATCCTTACAGATTCTACCTCTCCAAAACTCCCAAACTCCTTCATTAAAGCCTTCTTCTTGATCTTCAAAGGCAAATTCCCAATGAAAACAGTCCTTAAAAGTTTACTGTCATCATCAAATCCCTCAGTTGAGACCATCAAATTCTCTGGATTATCCATCTTCTTCCTCTTTTCTCCTACCACCATTTCTCCAATCCCTTTCTCCGCCTCCTCCTCCATATCAACCACCCCATATCGTTTTGCCTCGTACTCCGCCTCAATCTCATTTCTTTTCCTCTTTTTCTTCTCCTTTTTCTTTGACTCTGAACCCAAATTTCCTATCATATCATCTTTAGCTTCTGAACCCAAAATTACATCAGAAACTACACCATTTGATTCCTCATTAGCTTCTTCAGATACAGACCCTGAATCCAAGATTACATTTTTATCCTTTTTCTTCCTCTTCTTGAGTTTTGCAGTATCAGAATCATTATTTTCAAAAACCCCATCAGTTTGATTCTCAATAGAAGCTTCTACAACACCTAATTTTGGTTCTGTGGGATTGTCATTATTAGGTTTTCTTCTGAAGGGATTGTTATCAGAAAAGAGTGAATCAATGTTTGAATCTGTTGGGGTTGCTCCAAAAAGGGTGTTGAAAATATCTGAAGAATTTGAGGTTTCATTTTGTGATTGTTTCTGCTTCTCTTTGGATTTCTTTGCCATTGAGATTGAGTTTCAGACAGAAGAAGCAAAGTTTTGGGATTGAAAGTGTAAAACGGGAGATTTTGGGGGCAAGAAGAAAGAAATTGGATGTTATGATTGGAGAGAAAAAGAAGTGGCACCTTGTACATGTAACGTGAACCCTAGCTTCAATGTTGTCCAAATCGTTTCTTGCGATGTTTCTTTTTCCTAACTAAATACTTGCCCAATTACACTTTATATACCTAACGTGAACCCTAGGATTATTAAATACAGATTATTTGTTGTTATCCGTCTCAACATTTTTATACAAGCACTTAATTGGTTATTTATAAAAATCACTTTTATGCTTGTAAGTTAATTTAAATTAATCAATTAAGCCACCCATACACCTAACAGTAATTTCAATAATTATTGTTACTCCTAATTTCTCCTTTATAAGTATATTTCACTGATCTGTAACTTTTTCGCTACAAGAACTTGTAAGTTCTTCATTTATGATTTTAAGCACAATTTATTTAGTACTCCAACATACTCGTATAATCCCATAAACGGGGTCTGGAGAGGGTAGTGTGTATGATCTTACACCTACCTTGTGAAGCTAGAGAGACTGTTTCCGATAGACCCTTGACTCAAAGACTTTATTTTGTATAGATTTGTAATTTATTTTGCTTTACGACAATATCAAAAATATGAACTTCCATTAAATGTGAATTTTGCACAACCTAAAGAGATAAACATAAGTTTACACATGTGTGCACATGTGTGCTTATATATATATATATATATATAAAAGAAGAACATGTAAATCAAGTTATCAAATGCTAAGTTTTAAAATGTTTATATTAACAGCTTGATTGGATGGTTGTTACATGTAACGACCCAACCGGTCGTTTTGCTTTCTAGAATCCCGTTCCCTTGAATAAGACTTCTCGTACTTGCTTTAACTGATATGACTTGCGGGGATGGTTGGTTCGGGATTTGGAAGAGTTTGGGTTGAAATCGGAACACTTGGTTCCTTAAGGTTGGCTTAAAAGGCCAAGTTTGACTTCAGTCAACATTTTGAGTAAACGACCTCGGAATCCGGATTTGAAGGTTCCAGCAAGTTCGTATGATGATTTCGGACTTAGGCGTATATCCGGATCGGGTTTTGGATGACCCGGGAGCATTTTGGCGCCTAATAGTTGTCACACCTCCTTTTTTACACACCTACCCCGAAGGATAATGTATAAGGGAGTTTTTCCATTTAAAGTGACATTATTCGAAATGGGATTATTTATTTATTTTTAGAGTCGCCACTTGGGAAAGGATTGGCTTTTGGTGTCCCAAGGCACCGATTTAATTTAAATCCCAAATCGAGGAAAAATTCGACTTCCCAATTGGAGTCTTCGAACCAGAAATTCTGAATAAGGAATTCTGTTGACCCGAGGGAAGGTGTTAGGCACCCCCGAATCCCGTGGTTCTAGCACGGTCGCTTAAATTATTATAAATGGCTAAAATCTAGTTTTATACATGTTCAATCCTATAGTGCAATTTTTAAAATTATTTACCGTTTTTAATTTATTTTTACGAAAATGAACGCCGTTTAAGAGCGTGTTTTCAGATCACGTCACATGAAATGCACCCGGATCCTCAACACCTCTTATTCAACGTTTTAGGATTTGGATTTGGGTCGCATGAAATGCACACCCGACTTTAGGAAGGTAATTTTATTAAAAGACGCGCCTAAAGCGACTAACGTGTTATCAACTTTATGGGGGGCCATGGAAATTCGCTAAACGGCACGCCCAATTTCTAAAATATTTTAATATAGTATTTAATGAGGGCCCCGCAGTTTATATGTTTTGTTTGGCGAGGCTCGTCTCATTTAATTATTTTTTAAGGTCAATCTAAATCGAACTAGATTCTCTATTTGCATTGTGGTCTTTAAAGGGCTTGGCAATATGAAATTCGGGTTTCCAAATTCAAGTCCGGATTCAAATAAAAGGATAAAACCTTTTAATTTAAAACCGCCACCTAACTTGAAGACCTAAATTTTATGTTGCAAATTGAATAACCATATTCCTAATGTGAACTTTGGGCCCAGGACTGTATAGTGATTGGGGAATTTGGCCCAAAACTGCACTGTGAATTTGCCCAGTAGTCGAACCTCATCAATGCCCAATCGTGAAAATGATACAGGCCCAGGAGCAGCATTTAGTCCCATTCTGTCGTTTGATTAAGGAACCAGAGTCCAGTCTTAACGCCGATAGGACCGTAATTATCTCTGATTGTTCATTAGGCTTTCGACTCGTTTATTCACGCTTATTCTAAGGCAAATTCGTGACTACTGATTCAATTGCTGATTATATTCAGTAGTTGGATTGTCTAAAGAGTAATTACACAGGAGCCTATTAAAACTATAAAGGCTTATAAGTTCAGCACCTTACACATAGAACTAAGTCACGACAAA